CACTGGATCCAGCAGAAGTCTGGAGAAGGATTAGAATGGCTTATTAACTATAATACAACAATGGTTTTTCCTCTGCAGCCCACGGGATGATTCACAGCCTCTGAGGACAGCTCCAATTTCTAGCCACAAACGAATGACACACAGGCACACACAAAGGGACAAAGAACAATGGGGTGACTCAAACCACTTTTCTACTAGTGGAGAAAGGAGGGATCCTCTATGATTACCCCCACCAGTTTGGTGTAGTGGTTAACAGCACAGACGCTAATCTGGGAGAACTGGGTTTGATTCCCCACTCCTCTACCTGCAGCTGCTGGTGTGACATTCGGTCAGTCATAAGTTCTCTCATAGCTGTTCTCTCAAGAGCAGTCCTCAAAAGAGCTCTGTCAGCCTCACCTACCTCACAGAGTGTCTGTTGTATCATCTGGGCTGGGAACAGTGAGACCCAGAAAGAATCTGAACTTGGACTGTCAAGTGATGGGTGTCTATCACTAATCCATACTGTGCATGGAACTGCTTCCGTTAGCCTCCTGGGAAACCTCTAGAATGGTTTGCAAGAATTTACCCCTATGAGGGGAGTAAGTGGTTTGCCTCTTCTCTGCAAAGTCGGACCTCCATTTCTTCAGACAACTCGAAGAACACCTTCTTTGTCCAGTTGAACTCCCTGACAGTTGCCGACTCCGCTGTCTATTTCTGTGTCTCAGATGAACAGTGAGGCAAGATGAAGGGAGGACATGTACAAAAACAGGAAACTGATTCTGAAGATAGATTTCTACTCCCATTCAGCAATTTAAAGTATTAATCTGAGTTTTTGAGAACAATGATAGGATGATTAAACCACCCTAAGAGCAGGGGCTTTATAGCCATCAGTTGCCATATATCACTCTCTACACACAAACACACCCACATTCATGTGTGATTTTTTTTTTTACTATAAGAAGAAGAAGAAGAAGAGATTGGATTTATACCCCACCCTTCACTACCCAAAGGTGTCTCAGAGCGGCTTACAAACTCCTTTCCCTTCCCCTCCCCACAACAGACACCCTGTGTGGTAGGTGGGGCTCAGAGAAAGTCGGACCTCCATTTCTTCAGACAACTCGAAGAACACCTTCTTTGTCCAGTTGAACTCCCTGACAGTTGCCGACTCCGCTGTCTATTTCTGTGTCTCAGATGAACAGTGAGGCAAGATGAAGGGAGGACATGTACAAAAACAGGAAACTGATTCTGAAGAAAGATTTCTACTCCCATTCAGCAATTTAAAGTATTAATCTGAGTTTTTGAGAACAATGATAGGATAATTAAACCACCCTAAGAGCCATCAGTTGCCATATATCACTCTCTACACACAAACACACCCACATTCATGTATGATTTTTTTTTCTATAAAAAGAAGAAGAAGAAGAAGAAGAAGAAGAAGGATTTATACCCTGCCCTTCACTACCCAAAGGTGTCTCAGAGCGGCTTAAAAACTCCTTTCCCTTCCCCTCCTCACAACAGACACCCTATGAGGTCGATGGGGCTGAGAGAACTCTTGACAGAAACTGCTCTTTGTCAAGAACAGCTCTTATCAGAAATATGGCTTGCCCAAGGTCATCCAGCAGCTGCATGTGAAGGAGTGGGGAATCAAACCCGGTTCTTTGAGATTAGAGTCCACACACTTAACCACTACACCAAACCACTACACTGAAGGAGATTGTACACTGCTCTGAGATGCCGAGTGAAGGGCAGGGTATAAATCCAATATCATCAAATCATCATCATCAGACTAGGCTGGGGAGCACTGCCTCCACCCCACCTCCACATGGTGCAAGGAGAGATGATAAGGGCAGGCACCAGATTGCTCTACCCTACAGTTGGAGCTTGGCCTTCTGCTGAGGTGAGAGGACAGGCAACATCTTTCCACCTATCCTGGATTCTGCATGGTAGTAGGCAAGGAGGGCAAGATCCAGAATGCTGAGGAAGCCCAAATTCCCTATGCCAGCCCTCGTCAGAAGTAATGTCTGAAAAGGTGATTTGTTGTTCTCAGATTTTTTTGAGGCATAAGCCTATAGCCTCCACTCACTCCTTCATCCAAATCTGCTTCCTGGCCATGACAAAACACCACAGTCTAAACCACAATGTGCCCCCTAACTGTGAGCAGAGGGACCCTTCAAGGGAACCTGCAGATGAGATCTCTCCAAGTGACCTGAGCCAATGGGAATGTATTGCCTTTATTTCCGTACCAGGTGATTCTGTGTGAGTGGATCTGATCCAACCGAGAGAATCCCATACACTGACCTGTGAACCCACTGGGTTGAATCCTAACAACCATTCAATGAATTCAATCCGGAAGAAGCCCGGAAAAGGATTGCAATGGCTTGCCCACCATTTTACCTCTCAAAACAAACCCACTGTGTGTGCTCTCCTCTACTATTCAACTGAGCTCCAGTAATCCAATATCAACATGCATTTTATGCATTAATACTAACTGTTAAGTGGTTAAGATGCTGAACTGCAGGCTGTGGAAGGTCAGTAGTTCAGCAGTTCAAGACCCGGGTGCCGCAAGATGGGGTGAGCTCCTGTCTCTAGTTCCAGCTCCTGCCAACCTAGCAGTTCGAAAGCAAGAAATTGCAAGTAGATAAATAGGTACCACTTCGGTGGGAAGGTAACAGCATTCCGTGCGCCTCGGTGTTTAGTCATGCCGGCCACATGACCACGGAAACGTCTTCGGACAGCGCTGGCTCTTCGGCTTTGAAACGGAGATGAGCACCGCAACCCTAGAGTCGGATTCGACTGGCTTTCGAGCAAGGGAACCTTTACCTTTACTAACTGTCCCAAGATATCTCCATGCTTTTATGCTGTCTGATTTAACAAGAAGATACAGCAGTATTCTGTCTAATCAAATTCTGCCCTTGCCCAGCATAAAAGTGTGGAGATATCCTTGCTCTGATAACCTAATTGAAACATTGGGTTGGATCACATGGTTTTCCATTGTAGAGTCTATGTACAGGCACACTTGGATTTGTTATTTGACTCGATTTAAAGTGTTGGCTATCACATTAAAAAAACCAAAACATTATGGCCTTGGATCTTCATTTCTGCTCAACCATCTCTCACCCTGTGCTCCATCAAAACAGCTTCACTCCTCCAAGCAAGTGCCTACCTGCAAACAGGCAGAATCAAGAATAGCCCATCCAGGTGCCTTCTCTGTTGTGGTCCCCACCTTGTGGACTGGCCTGCCCGAGAAGGTCAGGAAGGCTTCTGCTCTCCTGATTTCCACAAACTATGCAAAACTGAATTATTCAAGAGGGGTTTTCTGCTCAGCCAATAGTGTAGCACTGCACAAGAGGCTTCTAGAAGTTACTTAGGTACATTATCGGGGACTGTGGTTTGTACTACTGCATTCAGTTAGCTGTGGACTGGATCTCATTGTGCAATCTTGCCCTTCAGCGGCACTTATGTACCCTTAGGTATGCAATTGAAGTACTAATTGAAAGTGCTGCTAACATGATGGGGACTTCACATCACACTCTGAAAATATTTTATGGAGCCTCAAGTATGAGTGGAACAGGAAACACAGCAGATTAGGGTAAGGAAAGATGCATCCAAAATGCAAATAGACCAGGGGGACAGATCTGTAATGCAAACTTCAACCATTGCTTTAACTATTTGTATCACATCTCCCCCAAATAACTAAGAGAACTGTAGTTTGACATGGATGTGAAGCATTCTCTGCTAGGGAAGTACAGTGTCCATGAACCTTGGGGTAGAGAAGACTTTTACCCCTAATATCCCCCCACACACATAAAGGTACACTCTCCCGGCATCCAATTGAGATAACTGTTTGTTGATCTTGAGCCAAACCAATCATGTTCACCCCAATACCTTCTGGCTATAGAAATGAGTGATAGACTATTTGAGTGATACCCCTTGATTCCTCAGGGTACACACTCTGAGAGCTGTCATTCCATGCTCAGTGTTGGTCTCTCTAAATCTATTCTGCATTTTTGATATAAATTTAGTTTGCCACAATGAATTTTACTGGATCCCCTGCAATTCAATTGGCATATCCAACTCTCTTTCAAGATATTACCCATTGGTCCCAATGGGCATTCTTGTCATACATTTTACTAAATCCTACCCCAGTTCTCTGTTTATCCATCCACTGAAGAATGGGCTCCTCCACAATAGAAGAGGGAGAGAACAAGAACTGTGGCTCTCTGTGGCTTGTCTTCAAAAATTATTGGCTCTGTACTCTTCCCTTGCAAGGGACCAACTGGGAAGGAGAAATGGCATTGCTTGAGAATTAAATAGCATCAAGGAAGAACATGAGCACATGCTAACAGCACCCAAAGTGGAAAGGAACATGGATTTCTTCAGGGAAGTGTGGTTCATTTCACTAGGAATCCCAGATTTCTAATACTATTCCAGACCATCATGGTAATGACCTGAAGCAGTGATTTCCATGTATGTCTTTGGCTCAGGTATTTCATCATGCCTATAACTTCAATGGATAAATTGGCCCTGACCTGGATGGCCCAAGCTAACCCTATCTAATCAGATCTTGGAAGCTAAGCAGGGTTGGCCCTTGCTAGTACTTACATGGAAGACCACCAAGGAAATCCACGGTTGCTACGCAAAGGCAGGAGATGGCAAACTACATTTGTTTATCTCATACCCTGAAAATCCTATGGAACTTTGCACAGAAACCTGCATTGATCAATAAGTGAATTTGTGTTCCTTGTTTGATCTATCCACTTACTAGACAACAAAGTTTCCTGTGGCTTAAAGTTGGTGTCCTTCTTTCCAATTTCTTGGTGGAAAGGGTGTGCCAGAGTAAATCAGCCCTTACACAGACCTTAACTCTTGGGTGTACATGTGCACCTGTGGAAATGCATGCATGAGTCTGCTTCAGATGTTGGGTAACAAACAGCCCTCATGGTTGTAAGGCCAAGACTGACTTTCAGAGATAAACATTGGTAATTGCAGACAGTTTGGTTAGAAATAATATCATAAGATTCTTAAATCCTACAGTTCTTTTTCCTAATTATCTCTTGTTTTCTGTTCAGATCAGGCCTCAGTAGAATAATGTAGCATTTTGGGCAAAAGATACAAAGCAACAGCCCAGCACCGGAGGCCAAGATAGAGAAAATCTCCACGGCCACCATGTATTTTCCTTTGGTGCTCAGGTAGGTTGGAACAAAAGACAACCAAACACTGCAAAAGATCAGCATGCTGAAGGTGATGAACTTGGCTTCATTAAAACTGTCTGGCAGCTTCCTGGCTAGGAAGGCAACAATCAGGCTGATGAGGGACAGAAATCCCATATAGGCTAAGACAGTATAAAACATAATGGCAGACCCTTCATTACATTCAACTACAATTTCTCGAGTCAGTGACTGCATGTCAAAATCTGGGAAGGGGGGAGAGATTTTTAGCCAAACTGTACAAATGGTTACTTGAAGAAAGGAGCACAAAATTATGATGGAGTAGGCCAGTCTTTTCCCCACCCATTTCCTCATGTTGGACCCTGGTTTGGTAGCCATGAAAGCTACAACCACAGTGACAGTTTTGGCCAAGACACAAGAAACAGCCACTGAAAAGATGATTCCAAAAGCAGATTGACGGAGGAAGCAGGACTCCTTTCTAGGTAGCCCAAGAAAGAGCAAAGAACTGAGGAAACAGAACAGAAGTGAGAGAAGGAGAACATAGGTGACATCCCTGTTGTTGGCTTTGACTAAGGGGGTATGTCTGTGTTTAATGAAAATTCCTAGCATCAAAACTGTGATCAGGGAAAATGAAATGGCCACTGAAGCCAAACTGATCCCTAAAGGTTCTTCAGAAGATAGAAAAGTTATAACTTTGAAGACACATCCATCTTGATTCTTGGTTGGATAGTGATCTTCGGGGCATTTGATGCAATCATTCATGTCTGAAAAAAGAAAGAAAAGAAAAGGGGGCATCCCATTGTTAACTGATATGACTTATATTTGATCTGCTTGGATATAGGATCATTGTGGGAAATTTAATTCCAGATAAATATTGACCTTTGGTTCTGTGTATGGGGAACAGATGTCAAATTTCCAAAAATGTTAAATGTAAGGAAGAAATTATCAGAGAAATTTTAATATATGCAGTACTGGCTGTCCTTTCAAATCCAAACCTATTTTATGGGTTTATCAACATAAAAGACAATTTATAATTTAGCACAGAGCTTTGTACCATTTTTATACATATATACAGAGAGAGAATTAAAAATATAATTGTCATTTTCTGTAAGAAAAGTTGTGCATTTGTCCAATATTTTAAAGAAAGAATTGGAAAGTGCTGCATATGTATCATAAATCTTGTCTTCTAAGAGACAGGGAAAGAAAATCAAAATGTAATCCCCCCCCCAAAAAAAATGGTAGTGAACCAAAGCAGGTACATCATTGGTGTAGATATACTCTCATACACTTACTGTACATAGAATAAAATATTTGGACTAAATGGTACTTGTAACATTGAAAAGACTGGATTCTTTCAAATGTTCTGTTATTAAACACATTGCAGAATATAATTTGTTGCCAAAATTATTTACACTTAAATAAAAAGGTATACTTGTCAATATGGTGCACATGTCTATAGCATATACAAGAATTATCATCTAATAATGTAGATTGTCATATAAACTGTTTAATAGTACATGTTTTCAGTAAAATTTTATCATAAAACATTTTACTTCTTCTAAAATATATTTTTAAAGGGGTCGTCCCCCCGCTCTCAAATTTTCCCCAAGTCTTTCCCCTGTTGAGTGTGGATGGGGATGGACTGAACAGAGCTTTCCCTCAGAGTGTGAGTAAATGGAATGAGTAAAACATTGTCTTTGAAAGCATCTCTATCATTTCAAAAGAAAAAAAATATATTTTATAAGAGGGTTTTAAAAAAAAATGTTCCACAAAATTGTCCAATTCCACCCCCCATGGAAATTCCTGTGGAATTGAATAATTTAAGGTAAGGGACAGATCTTACCTACATCGATTGTTTCATTGTCTTGGGTAATTTTGTTTGTTTGCTCATGTGTCCCCCCCCCCCCCATTCTTATGTCCCAGTCCTACTGCCTTACTCTTTTTACCAGGAATCTTTGTTCACAGAGTCAAATGTTTTATCATACTTTGTAATTAGCTTAAAGACTGAATAGTTCTGCTTTGAGTGTCAATGAGAAAGGCCGACAGTATATGAAGTCAATAACAACAACAACAACAACAATTGGCTGCGGTCACACGTAACAGAAGCCACACAAGTGAGACGGAAAACAGCCGGAGTTTCCGGGCGCGATCTCACCAGCACATCTGGGAAGCGTAGCACTCCCGTGGCTCAACCGAGGCTTCCAGCCGAAACTGCGTGGCAAAAAACTAGTACCTCGGAGGTACTAGTTTCCGGAAACTGCGGGGCAAGGGCGGGCGTCTGATCGCGTTTCCGGTGGCATCCGGCGCCCGCCCATGTCCCATTGCAAATAAGGTGTTTTGTTTTTTTTTGTCCAAGTCTCTGTGGATGCGCACGCGCACCCAACGGAGCATGCACATTTGTCATGTACACACAAAAACAAAACAGTTTGCTGCGGCGCACGCTTCTTCGTTGCGCGCCGGCTTGTCCTGTGATCGGCACCTCTCCCTTGCCATGGAACCTCCATGGTACCTCCACAGGACCTCCACAGGAGGTCTGATCGCGTAACTGCGCAGTAGTTTGCCCCAGGGCAAACAGCCACGCTTCTCCCCCGCAGTTTCCTGCCCGTGTGACCGGGGCCTATGCTATGAAAAAAGACAATACTGTTTTTACCAGGCACTCTCTCTTACAATGTCCGTTGTGCTCCTTGGCTTACTAAGGAACTTCAGGTGACGAAAAATGTTGACAGATGATTAGCTCTCAAATGGAGGGGAAATTATAACCAATTGGGTTAAAAACAGGCTGGAGCACCATTTGAGCTGAAGTGGTGGAGAAGGATGAGAATTTCTGAATCACCTTCACTCTGTCTATACAAAGATTCTTTGTCCTCCCCGTAATATGTAACCTCAGAGGACTCAAGGATGAAGGCTCACAGTGACTTATTCCCTAAGCATTTCACATATAATGCCATGCATATCCACCAGGATTTGGACATCACCTACCTTTCTGATCTGAAATCTTCCCTTTTGGGCATGGAATGCAATCATAGCAGCAAAATTTCTCCCTTTCCTTTTTCTTCTTCCGAGAACCAGGAGGGCAGACATCATTGCACAAAGATAGGGGCAGCTCCTGTTCAGAGATGAAAGATGTTTGGGATTGGAAACATAGTAAAAATCATTTCATTATCCGTTACCTGACATAGACATCAAAGCACTGAACAGCTAAAATGGAGTAATAGTAAACATTGTGGATAGATTGGCTTTAGAACTGTCAGGCAGAATATATATTATTACTATTAGTATTCCTGTTATTATTTCTATTACTATGCACTCCTTATCTGTGATGATAAGTCTGGAGAAACCAATCACTCAGTTGGGTACTTTATTCCAGGAAATGGAATACATGGATGGCTTCTTTAAAATTCTACTAAATTCTAATGAAGGTATGCAGGACATATCACATGAATTCACAGATATGGAAATCACACAGTAGTTTTCATGTAGAAATCATGATATCTACCTTCAATGTTTGAATTAAAAATAATAATAACTTGTCCCAAAAGGATCAAAATATTCAATCAAGGAAGAAGAAGAAGAAGAAGAAGAAGAAGAAGAAGAAGAAGAAGAGGAGGAGGAGAAGGAGGAGGAGGAGATTGTATTTATAACCCATCCTTCACGTGAAGTCTCAGAGCAGTTTACAAACTCCTTTTCCTTCCACTCCTCACAACAGACACCCTGTGAAGTAGGTGGGGCTGAGAGAGCTCTTCCAAGAACTGCTCTTTCAAAAATGACTCTGACAGAACTATGGCTTGCCCAAGCTCATCCAGCAGCTGCAAGTGGAGGAGTGGGGAATCAAACCCAATTCTCCTAGATTAGAGTCTGTGCACTTAACCAGTACACCAAACCACTACACTACACCAAATCCTGTTACTGAATCAAGCATCCAGAGGGTGGGATGACCCCAATGAAGACCATGAAATACAGACCTGGTTAAAACCAGCTTGCCATACAATCATATCTTCATTGATGGTGAATTCTTTTCCTTTACCAGCCCTGGGATTCACCTGTCCAACTTTCACATGGAGGAGGGACTTGTTTGCAAAGGTGACCAGATTCGTTATATCAAATCCTGCTCCCATTTCCATCTTGTCATTAAAAAACACTGTCTCACCAGCTGAGTTGTTAAAAGAGATGCCTTGAAGAAATGGGTGGAGCTAATTGATAGGGGGGGGAAACATAACCAACATAACGCGAGTGTTAATGCTGAGAGGTAAAGATATATTTCCTTGTAGATAAACTGTCATTTCATTTAAAAGATTTGTAAACTGCTTTCCCACCAAAACAGGGTCCCCAAGATGTCAAATGTCAAGGCATTAAAACCGCACTTGAAGCATTAGAACACCATTTGAAATTTATATATAAACAATTAACACAGTAAATTTAATTTACTGTAGAAACTACCACATAATCCAAGCATTTTTAAGAGAAACTTTTTTCCAAGTTTGATATGAGGGGGATATCAGACCACACAAGACTATGCTGATGAATAATATGTACAATGTGATTCCTCAATTTATTAATGGTATCTGGTGCTGAATTAATGTGTTCAGGCCAATGACATAATTTCAGTGCATGGGCATTACCTGGCAAGGCTGGGCATCTTGAATTTCAAATCTTTTGCCACCTGCCTTTGCTGTGTGACTGAATCTTGACAAGTGCAGGGCATGCAAAGCATGTGCTACGGCATAGACAGCATTATAAATGCCATAGCTGTGGCCACTCATGTGCATTTCAAAAAATGGCTCTGGAAGGCTCTCTAGCTTCTCCTCTCCAGTACATGCTTCACAGTTAAAAGCTTGCTCCCAGAAGTACTGAAGAAAATAATCTTTTTTTGACCAGTCAGGTTTCATGAGCTGAAGAAATTTCTGGAACCCTCGAACCTCCTTTGTGTGAATTGTGAAGGAAATGGCACCTTGGAAGAATTGTAAATCTAAGCCCTTTTGCTGGCCTGATAGTACAAAATCAATCTGGGCTGTCATAATCCACACCCTTCTAAATGCTGGATTTTCTATATATCCAGCATCTCCCCAAAACAAATATGTGTTGAACGTTACGAGGGCCATGGACTCTCCATAGAAGAGAAGTGTGCTGCTTCTGTTATCCGCAAACGGTTGATAAGTATTGTAGGCAAGACCATAAAGATCCCCCAAATCATTCCAAAAGAATTGCTTGTCAACTCTTGTTGTGAAGGCCAAGCAGATTTGATTTTGGGATAGCAAAGATTCCATGGACTGCACAAAATGTTCACCATTCTCGTCATTCACAGCAAGAAGTCCAATCCACATCCATCTGAAGTGGAGAAGCAACTGGACAACCCCCATATACTGCTGGTTTTCATTTGGAACCATGCGGTAAAAGGAAGGAAACTTTCTTGCATCCATATCCTCAAGGGCAAATGACCCATAGGTGAGCTTTAAAAAATGAGAGATGTATTAGAGTAGAGATTGGAAGAGATGTGGGGCCTTCTCTCTGTGATAGAGCACTCCTGGTCCCAGGTTCAGTTCCTGATATCTTCATTTAAATGATATCAAATAGCACACTCTAGGAAAGATTTTCCCCTTGCTCAGGTAATGTTGCTTTGAGTTTCAAATCCTTTACCTGAAAAACCTTGTTGGTCTCTATACTGAACTTGAATCTAGCATGTCTACTTAAGGCCAACATGGCTACCTTCCCAAATCTTCTCTTTCTGTGATTTGGGAGAGGATTACCAGTCAAGTAAACAGGTAGATGAGTAAGTGGCTTGGCTTACTCATGTATTCTTATAAGTACTTCTGAGATTGCCTGTTTATGCAATTAATACTTGCTGAGGAATTTTGAAGCTTTGGTAAGAATTAAAGTAAAACATAGCCTGAAGAATAATGCCGTTTTAGTGGCTTGATTACAGGACAGAAATCTGCTGCTGAATTCCTCAACTACCTTATGATATCCCCAGCAATACATACCTAAGGAACAATATAGCTATACTTTTACCTGTGGAAACTTGTAAAGACTTAAGATGTCTGCCATGTGGTAGGAAGTCTCAGAGCCAAGTCCCCCAATGACAGCTATGAGCTTCTCCTGGGTGTCACATTTGTAGTTGGGGACAAATCTCTGTGATTTGAAGAGCAGATCCAAGGTGGTACGATAGGTCATCCTCATGTCATAGTAGCTATCATAGATGCGGGACCCAAGGGTGACATTGGGTAGAATATGAGGATCTTCATTGATCTCATTGATGGCAAACACCAAGGCAAGGATATGCTGGTAGAACTTCGTCAGCATCCTGTAAGTAGATTTAAATACTCTTTAAAAAGGAGAATTCTATAATCACCAAGTGACTGTGCTGAAATTATGACCTCATATGATCTGCTTTGCTTCACTTATTGTTTTTTTGTTTTGTTTTTCATTTTCATCAGATATTTCTAGGTCAGTAAAATCTTCAACTCAAATAACAATGATGAAGCCGTAACACTGGAAAATGGATAACATATTGACATATAAGCTACCAAGTGTGTTCCTATGCTCTTTGTTTAACATAGAGAATCCCTATTATAGATTATATTGACAGCAAACACAAAGGCAAGGATGTGCTACTAGCACTTCTTCATCATTCTGTAAATAGATACCCCTGGATATACCACTGTCTCTATTTTGTATTCCAGTGATTTCTTTCTTTTTATATATATTAACAGTTGTGTGAGATGACAGAGCTGTCATATTTCACAGTTCAGTTTTCTTTTCAGAAGCTTGGAAATTAGGACTTCAGAATAGGGGAGGTGGATTAATCTTTCTTGTGTTTCACACAAATATGTTTGCACAAACTTGGACACTAGGCAGTCATGGAAACCACATCTCTATGGACATATATTGTGATCACTAGATGGCATCTTTTATAGGAAACACTTCCAGGTGAACAGCCATGTTAGTCTTCAGTAGAAGAGCAAGAGTCCAGTCCACTGGCACCTTAAAGATCAGGTAGATTTCCAGGGTAGAAGCTTTTGAGTCAAAGATCCCATGATCAGATGCCACGACAAACACAAAATCTTTCCCTCTCTCCTCTGTTTTCCTAGGCAGAAATATCTTTCTCTATTGGAAAAGCCATCCCTCACGTGTTGCAAAGACCACATCATGCCCGTGATTCATATAGTGGTTGGAAAGGAAGACTGCAGTGGTAAACCAAGCAGAAAGAGACACTTTTGTAAGCACCATGTCAGGTGTATATGTTTATTGTTGCCTATTAAATGTCCATCCTGCTTTTCTTCCATTTTATCCCGGGGGAGGGGAAATCCTGTGGATTAGGGTAGGATGACAAAGATGGATTGTTCCAAAGCCATGTTTCTGACTGAGGGAAGATATGAACCCAATGCCCCCCAGCTGTCTAAGTAGATATGGTGGAAGATGAAAAAAAAATGACTTACTCTGGAACGTCAAAGAGTTTCTCTGAAGGGTGCTCTTTGAAAGACAAGGGGTGAAGCGTGTATGTGATCAGAGAAGAGATCCCACCCAGGAGGATGTCCCCAGGCTGGTACTGCTCATGCGGAATAGGGATGGGATGGGGCTTTGAGCACTTCATAGTATGTACTCCCCAGTCCATGGGAGGGAACAGCAGAAGCAGCACCACCAGCCTCAGCATCCTGGCAGCAATGCTTCCCTCCAGATCGGTCTTGAGACCATCTGCAGTGTCACAGGCTACCTCGAAGAGTGGCTGCTGGTGAGGACATTCTTCAGAAAGGAATCGATGTCTGCCTTATTTAGACCATCCATGCAGTTACAAAGGCATGCCTTCACTACCGGCTCAGATTGCATGGACTCCATTCTTGAACCAAAATGCCAGAGATCAGAATGGTACACAGAGCTCTTCCATCCTTTCCGTCACCATCACAATAACCAGTATCAGACATACTTATTAAGTGTTTGCCGGAACCTTCTGAAAAGGCAGTCTTGGTGAACAAATTACAATGGCGTGGGTAAATGCTGGGGAAGATAATTACATGGTGGGAGTGCAGATCATTATTGGCACCGTGGGTACGGAATGTGGTTCACCCACCCCCACCCAATTCTTTGCAGGTGTCTTCTCTGCTCCATAGAAGTTCAGTAAGCAGCAGGTGCTGCTCAGTTCCCCAGAATGATTAATCAACAACAGGAAAACATAGAAAAATAGAGCTGGAAGGGACCTCCAAGGGTCACCTAGTCCAATCCCCTGCACCATGCAGGAAATCCACAGCTACCTCCTCCTCCACTCCCCCAGTGACCCCTACTCTATGCCCAGAAGAAGGCAAAAATACTCCAGGAGCCCTGGGCCAATATGACCCAGAGGAAAATTCCTTCCTGACCCCAAAGTGGTGATTGGCATTAGCCCGGGCACATAACAAAGGGAAAAAAGAACCAAACACTGGGTCAACCCTTTCAGGCCTCCCTGGCCAACAGTTTGACTGCTTTGAGGAACAGGCAAGCATCAGGACTGGCCATTCAACTGTGGACCAAGGGTTGATCTTATTTGGCAGAGAAATATAGTACTAGGACCCATGGAGGTCCTTATGCATTGATGGCATTTCCCAGGGACACTTTATGGACTAAATTAGAGGCATCCTCATTGGATTGCACAATGCTTGTTCTTATTTATATATTTCACGGGGGGTGGGGACACCCAAACCTGTCAATAAGAGAGAACCCATGCAGCCATTTCACTCCTGTTAGGAGGGTCATGAAACAGAGATGGATTTGAGCTCCTTTGCTATTGAATTTTTTATATTAATTCAACAGTTCACTACCCCAGTTCACTACCCCAGTTTTCCACCCTCTTCATTAGAAAACAGACCACTTCCCATTCTACTATATGTGGACTACACAGTCATATTATTTTACTCTTAAGCAGGGCTGAGCGGAGCACTTTGGGCTCTCAAGGTGTATTGTAAGAACAGACTGAGCTGCCCAAAGAGTTGTATCAGCCACCCTGAGATTTTTTTCCCCTCATGAAAGAAGGCTCACATATTCGTTATATGATCAAAGTCTTTGAGGGCAAAGTCATTCCCAAATTCATGTAAGGGTTACAGCTATGTTTATATAAAGATTTCCATTGCCAGAAGGTAATAAAATCTTAATATCTCTCATCCATACTTGGGGTCCCACACCATGTTGGGGTCCCACACTGTGTTGTCCACACCATATGACCTTCTTAGATTCGATTCAGAGATGGTGCTCTTGAAGAAAGAAGCTGGTATCAACCAATATGCCTTTGGCTCAAATTGAACATAAACCCTTCTGGAATAACGTCCCTAAATGCCAAATAGCTATCATATTCACTTGCTTTAATACTTTACAAACAGCTCTTCTGGGATACACATACATCCCTTACTCTCAGAATGTTCGCTCATGCCAATCAGACATGATTGAAACAGTTAACCATGTGATTATTGAATTTTTTATATTAATTCAACAGTTCACTACCCCAGTTCACTACCCCAGTTTTCCACCCTCTTCATTAGAAAACAGACCACTTCCCATTCTACTATATGTGGACTACACAGTCATATTATTTTACTCTTAAGCAGGGCTGAGCGGAGCACTTTGGGCTCTCAAGGTGTATTGTAAGAACAGACTGAGCTGCCCAAAGAGTTGTATCAGCCACCCTGAGATTTTTTTCCCCTCATGAAAGAAGGCTCACATATTCGTTATATGATCAAAGTCTTTGAGGGCAAAGTCATTCCCAAATTCATGTAAGGGTTACAGCTATGTTTATATAAAGATTTCCATTGCCAGAAGGTAATAAAATCTTAATATCTCTCATCCATACTTGGGGTCCCACACCATGTTGGGGTCCCACACTGTGTTGACTACACCATATAACCTTCTTAGATTCGATTCAGAGAAGGTACTCTTGAAGTAAGAAGCTGGTATCAACCAATATGCCTTTGGCTCAAATTGAACATTAACCCTTCTGGAATAACTTCCCTAAATGCCAAATAGCTATCATATTCACTTGCTTTAATACTTTACAAACAGCTCTTCTGGGATACACATACATCCCTTACTCTCAGAATGTTCGCTCATGCCAATCAGACATGATTGAAACAGTTAACCATGTGATGTTGTATTTCTCTTTGTATAGGGACATTCAGTCTCTATACATAACTCTAATCTTATCACATTTTCCAGGCAGACCTGAAAAATTTGATAAGATTGGAGTTATGTATTGAGACTGAATTTTGTATAGAGACCGGAGTTCTGTATAGAGACTGATGAATTTAATATTCCCTTTCTCCTTCCAGAACATTCTAATGAGACCACCATTAAGGTGGCCAAATTTCACACCCAGGCTTGTTTAACAAGGAAGCAGCTGATTAAGTCTTCTTCTTAATGATGTCTATATTATTTACAGGAAGGGAAAGTGACATGGTATAGCCTGATTGTGTCAGATCTCAGAAGTTAAGCAGGGTTGGTACTTGGAATAGAGACAACCAAGGAATACCCTGCAGAGGAAGATAATCACAAACCACCTCAGCTTCTCACTTGCCTTGAAATTTCTGTTACTGGAGTTCCCATAAATTGATACTTAACACAAAAAACATTAACAGGGCTCTTTTTGTAGCAGGAACACATTTGCATATTAGACGACACACCACTCCTCCAAGAGCTTACAGTAGCCCCTGTAAGAAGAGCTCTGTAAGCTCTTCGAGGATTGGCTACATTAGGGGTGTGTCACCTAATATGCAAAGGAGTTCCTGCTTTAAAAAAAAGAGTCCTGCATACTACTGAAATCAGCCTACTATATAGCTGTATAGAAATATTGATTTCTATAGGTTTCATGTTCTACTGGAATGCCTCTGGCTGGTGCCCTGCTGTGCTGATTTCCTATTGAAGCCATATGGCCTCCACAGGCCTGCCATATAACCCTACATTCTTCACACTTCAAGGCTGGCAGAGAACAGATGGCCTAGCAAACAGGCAAAAGCGCACGTAGG